TAGTTTTACAGATAGAGCGGGTGAAGGGATTCAAGGAGCGATAGGGAGCGAGGTGAGTCAGTGGTGGGTATTTTACTGAAGGCGATTCTCCTCTTTTCCGCAGTGAGACCATTCCCAGTGCATTATCCTGTGAAAAAGAATCGAGTGCACCGAAAGACGCGAATGCACGAAGGGATTTGGAGTTCGGAACTCCATCATCGGTCAAGAATTAGGGACGGTACCGAATTTGCCTTAATTGAAGGTCAAGGGACTGACGCGCTCTGTGATGACCGGTAGGCCATGCTGTTCCCAGATATACCCATCGGGACATCAAGCAAACGCAAGACGGCTGATCACTCTATGTCCGTACTTACTGAAAGCCCTACAAGTAATAACGGTCCATTTTTCTTGTGTGGAAAGAGTGCATTGGTTCAATCACTGTGGCAAAGGTGAGGAATGGGGACGTTTTTGGCACCTCGGCCTTATCAACCACTGGGTCATAAAGGGAGCGGCAGGTGGCGAGTGAACCTTTCTCTTTCCGTGATCGTCGGCTTTTTTTCAACGTTTCGTCGGAATGACAAGGGGAAGAAGCGAGCAGCAACTCCTGAATCTTGAGCAGAGGAAGCAGACTATCCGAAGCGGCAGAACAGCCATGAGAAATCCCTTTTGGCAACCTTGTTCTGACTAATGAGAAGGAAACGGTAACGGAAACTCAACTCCCATTTCAGCTGACCTTCCGCCGAGTTCGCGCTGCCGTGCAACCAAAGTGCTGTAGTCCGTGGGCTATAAAAAGCGTTACGGCCGACCTGCACGTTAGTTTACAGTCAGAGCGTCGAGATAAAGGGTGGCAAAAACACTTCTTCCTATGGAGAAGAAAAGAATGGTTGTTCCGCATCATACTTGTCCGGAAAAAGAAAAGCGCGCTGACGCTGACGTCCCCAACCACGACAGGTCATCCAGTCAGGGGTAGCATTGGTGAAATGGCGGTGATGGTAGCGTAAGTCAGCTCACATCGTATGTACGCTGGAGATCCCCGGCGAGGGGGGGTCGATTGGTCGTTGGAGGGAGGAGGTCGTACTCGCCTCTGAAAAAAATTCTTTCAATAGTTGACTTTTCCCTGTTTTCTCGTTTTTCGTCTTTCATGTGCTATAGCGTGAAATACTACCCCTCCCCCAGTCGACGGTAAATTACTGAGGGAAGGAATCCCTGGAAAAGGGATCCCTGGAGCTCAGAAGAAGTGACGGGAGGGTGGGGTGGGGAAACTTTCAGGAGAAAGGTAGGTAGTGTGTTACATGGACTATCCCCTACCTACTGATCTGTCGTGGTTGGGGACGTCAGCGTCAGCGCGCTTTTCTTTTTCCGGACAAGTATGATGCGGAACAACCATTCTTTTCTTCTCCATAGGAAGAAGTGTTTTTGCCACCCTTTATCTCGACGCTCTGACTGTAAACTAACGTGCAGGTCGGCCGTAACGCTTTTTATAGCCCACGGACTACAGCACTTTGGTTGCACGGCAGCGCGAACTCGGCGG